GGGGCGGGTGTGTTGCTCCTCCTGCTGCTGCTTCTGGGCCCGGGGCAGCGGGTGTCACGAGCCGGGCAAACCGCCGGGGATGAGTGATGACCAGCGGTGGGTGCGGGCCAGGCATCTGCAGCGGTTGACACTGGCCGAGGGACTCTGGTGCTCGCTGGGGTGTGGGAAACGGGCCATCTTCGATTCGGATTTGGCCTGAATCGGGGATAGTGATTTGGAGGGTTTTGATTCAATTCAGAGAGATTAAAGGGTCTCCTGACTTCGGATTCAGAGATTCAGCCACCGGATTGGGCTGAATCCATGCCAAATTGAATCAGCGACCAAAGCTTCACAAAGCCCTACGTGCCCAAGCAGTGCTCGCCCTGCCCAGGAGGGAGCCTGTTGTGTGCAGGCCCACCCAGCGCTGGGGCTGGCGCCATCACCCTTGTCCTCTGCCAGCGCTTCTCAGGAACCATCTCCGGACTTTGGCCAGAGGTCGTGGGGCAGAGCCAGCACGGCAGGAGCAAGGATCCCCTGCCCCCTCCCTAGCACTGGGTGACTGACCGGCTGCCAGCATGGGGGAGCCCCCCCGGGGAGGGCTGTGGGGCATCATGTGCAGGGCCAGGTCTGCCCCGGATGTGCAGGACCAGTGGTGGTCATGGGAAGCGGTTAGCCCCAGCCCCCACCCCATGCCCCAGCCCCTGCCCTGCTGGTGCTGTAGGGCCAGTGCTTTGAAGAGGCCCCTTGGAGGGAAGCCTGGCTTTGGACTCCGTCACCCTCCCCCAACGCTGCAGCTCCTGTCCCCATGGTGTATCATGTTGCCACAAGCCAGCACCGTGTCCATAGCGACCTTCCAATTTCCATGGAGACTTGCAGCTTGCTTTCCACCTGTCAGCCCTGGGTGGGGCAGGTTGCCATGAAGACTTCCCCCCTGGGGGAGTTCAGGACCTAACAGTAGCTGGTGCCCCACCCCCACCCTCTCTGGCAGGTGCTATGAGGCTGGGGCAGCAGTACCTGCTGGCGCACTGCTGGGAGGGAAGAAACAGCACTGCCGAGCCAACCCACCTGTCCTGGGGTGCCAGGAACAGCGACAGGCACTACAAGTGCACTGGGATCTAGTGGGCCAAAGTGGGGGAAGCTGGGGCCCGGGGTATGTGGTTCTGTCATTACTCTGGGAAAGGAGTGGGTGGCCCAGGCATCCCTACCGCTGCCCTCATCCATCCCAGCAGGCTGCTACCTACAGGCACCCGTTTCATAGTCAAACCTCCTCACAGCAGAGCAGTGGTGTAGCTACACGTCCACAGGGAGCCATGGGGCAGTGGCCTGCCCTTGGCCTCCCAACAGTAACAGCAGTCCCACCCATGTTCATCTGCTGGCCTGGGTCTTCTCTGCATCTATGCCAGGCTTGGTGCCATCTTACCATCCGTCTGGGTTTCCCTGGACATGTCCCCACACTTTTTAAGCCCTCTGATCCCCGTCAGGACATGTTGTTCGGGATTTTCCTTCGTTCTGGGGGTGGGAGCAGAGGCAGGGTGATTGGAGGCAGCGGGAAGCACACAGACCTGCCTGCAGCTGCGGCGGCACACAGACCCATGCAGTGCTCCCTGCTGGCTCCAATCACCTCCCCAGGGTTGGGAGAGAGGGGCACCATCAGTGGTCAGGGGGAAGAGTACTGCAGTTTGGTGAGTGAGGGACACTGGCAGGGCTGAGAACTATTACGGTCAGAGTGATACCTGCTAAACACAGGCCAAGGCCCCTGCACAGTCAACCTTCATAGTCCAAGACCCCTTCATAGTCAAATTTAGCAGGGGCCTCAGTGCTAACCCATCATGCACTTGTGGAGAGGTACAGACAATGCCTCTCGTCACCAAGGAGTGTCCCCTCTACAAACTAAGAGGCACATTACCAACTTTGAACTCCGTTAACAAAGAGGCTATTGCTTGGCTTCCCAGATTTGCATTTGCTAAATAAATAGTGAGCTTGTCTTGGAGGCAATGGGGTGCAGACCTGAGCATTGGGGACCCACAGAGCCTGGGCACAGGAGAAAGACAGCATGGAGGCAGACCACTGCAGCACCCCAGAGGTCAGCAGCCCCCAGCCAGATCTGGTCAGCACCGCACAGCACACATGGTCCTAGTGCACCTTGTACAATAGCTCCCATGTGAGACCAAGATGGCACCAAGCCTGGCATAGATTGCGTGATTGAGTGGATCAGTAATTGAATGTGTAACAGGTAGCTAGCTACAATAACAAGTTAACCAGAGGCAATTGACACCTACCAAACCCCAGATCAACAAGAGGAAGAAATCAATAGGAGCCAGTGTAGCAGCGGGAACTTCCTGAACCTTCATTGTTAAAGGGACAGAAGCCCTGGTTTGAATTTATTAGAGCTGAAGACCAACTTTTGAGGTGAATATTACCAGATCGACCACTCCCAGAGCCCTATTCACGACAATGGTAAATTAATCAAAATTCGTCAATGGACTCCTGAAACTGCACATACCCGCGGGCGTGACCCCTGGGGCTGACAGCTACCATCCAGTAGCCACCAAGGGGGACGACCGTCCCACAAGGGTCAACAACCTCTGGATTGGGCATGCCTGAAAACTGGGGAGTCACCAAAGTCTGCCAAGGACAGATAAAAGGTGGTAAAGAGTGACTCTTGATGGCGCCCGCTTAATCTCCAATTTGACCAGCACCCAACTTGTTCAAGCAGAAGGACCAGCTGGCGACCCCCTTCTGGAAGATACCACCGTGTTGGAAGAAGCCTTGACTGGCCATTGATGGCAGACTCCAACTCTTTTTGAATAGGTATGCTTAACTGTGGTGCTTCACAAATATTGGTAGCTAGCTACTCTGTGGGTGGGTGGGTGGGTGTGTGCGCGCGTATGTGCGTGCACATATGTGTGTGTATGTGCATGTGTGCATGCATGAGTGTGTGCTTGAAGGGATCAGTCCCAAGGTTTGTGATTTGATTTCATTGCAATATTTCAATCTGTCTAATAAACTAGAATTTTAAGGATCCTGAGTTGATCATTTGTAGCCAATAGCAACAAGGTTGCCTTGTGTGATGTTGAGGACCTGTTCTGGGATCTTTCCAGGTATCAAGGTCAGGCTGATTGATCTGTAATTTCCAAGATCCTCCTTTGTCCCTTTCTTAAAGATGGGCACTATACTTGCCTTTTTTCTGTCATCCAGGACCTCACCTGACCTCTGCAAATTCTCAAACAGGATAGCCAATGGTTTTGAAATTACCTCAGCCATTTCCTTCAATGTTTTACAGTGCAACCCATCCAGTCCTATCAACTTGAAAGCATCTAGCTTCTCTAAGATTGCTAAGTAGGGTTTCTAAGATTGCTCTAAGATTGCTAAGTAGGGTCTCTTCCAAACCTACTTTTCTATTCTAACAATGCTAAGGCTTCCATTATTGCTTTCCCTTAACTTATTACTTTGCCATACCCGTAACTTGTTCTGCTATTACTCTAGGCCAGTGGTGCTCAACCTTGAGCTTCATGGGCCAGATGAGTGGCATCTGGCTGGTTTCTGGGCTGGATTGAACCCTGCCCCTGCCTTGCCCCACATGCTGGGATTGAGTCCCAGGGACCTAGTACTGGCCCTGCACACTGGAATTGGGTCCCAGCATCCTGGCACTAGCCCTTCCCACTCCTGTACACAGGATTTGTCCCTAGGGACCTGGCACCACCACCTTTCCCCCCCCCCCCCCCCCTTGGGATTGGGCTCTGGAGCCTGACATTGTCCCCAGCTGATCCAACATGCAGGGTCCAGGGCTCCTCATGGGTCTGGAAATTTGGCAGCTGGGGAGTAGTGCCATCTTTCCCCTCTGCTAAATTTCTGGGCCCATGGGGAACTCCACGGGCTGGGGGCTGAGCACCCCTACTCTAGGCTGTTTATCTCCTTTCCTATCTTTGCTGCCAACA